ATATTTATTATAAAACAATAATCCAAATTTTAATTAATAATATAATATGATTCCTTAATATAATTCTAATAATAATAATATGCCATAAATATTATTATAATAATAATAATAATAATAATAATTATATTAATAATAATAATATTTATAATAATAATATTAATAATAATAATTTTTATAAAAAACTTTTAAAAATGCCTTTAAACTAATATTTTTGTACCTCTCATATATTTTAAAGTATCCTAATACTTTTTCATTATAAAAGACAGCATTTTAAAGCCTTAAATATTCGTCAAAATCAATATTAATACTAAACAAAAAGATCTTTTTCAAACAATATAAATGAGATTTTATAAAATAATAACAATACTTATTTATCTAAAAATTAATAAAAAATAATTCAAAGTGAGAATAATTTTCAATAATATAAAAATAGTTTAAAATTTAATTTTACTTTAGAAAATTTCTAATTTACTTTTTTTGAGGAATATTAGGAGGATAATATGCTTTCTTTATTTTTTAAAAAAACACTAATATTTACTTTTTTGAATATAGAAAAATGCCTCCATACAGATTAAATTAATAAAAAAGATTTCTTCTAAAATCTACTCAGAATAGTCCTAAATTTAATTGCATAACAATAATATTTCACTGAAAAAGCCTGCGAAAATGAAATTTTCGATTATATATAAAAAAACGAAGATTCATTCTTTAAAGGAAACATAATTAAAGCCAATTTACAAAATAATAGTGAAAACTACTTTAAAAAAATGGAAAAAGATACCATTTTAGGTTATTTAGAAACCTTTGTATATGAAGAATTGACCTAAACACGTCAACAAATTTTCCTTTCTTCATCAACAGTATTAATAAACAAACTTTTAGTCGCCTTTTAACTACTTAAGGAGGTTAAAATTTAGGATATATACTAATTTAATTTACTAATTGACATTTTCTCTAAAAATAACGTCGCATAACTTCTAAGAAGCCAAGAGTTAAAAAAGATAAAAAGTATAAATTAATAATATGGAATAAATGAGAATTTTGAAGATTATTATATTATTTTTAAGCCAAATGAAGTTTTTCAAGCAATAAAATAAATACGTGCGAATTTTATAAACTCGACTTAAAAAAATATAAAAAAAGATAACATTTTATATGAAAATTTTAAAAAAATCTGCTTTTTTTAGAGTCTTTTGAATAAAATTTCATCTAATAATAACCAAATTTCTAATAATAATAATTTTTAGAGGAAAAAGCTTAAAAATAATTCTCTTTTTAACCAAATTTTATCTCAAAAAAATTACAAAAAGATGACTTTTATTAAAATTGGGATATATAAATAGCCTCATATGAGTCTTTTTTTTGTTCTATTTTCTCTATTTTTTCTGTAAAATTATAGACTTTCTTAGAGGTATTAAAAACCAAAAATAGCCCAAAACAAACTTGAGAAAATATGCTCATAATTATGTTTTTTATACAATTTTATTTATTATCTTTACTTCTTTATTTGGTTAGTTTGATTTTGGAGGATACTTATATAAAATAGATATTTTTAATTGGGGCAAAACTAAAAATTCGAAATTAGGATTTGATTTAGAAGATTGAGGACCTAATAAATCAAATATTTATTTATAAATATATATAAATTTGGAATATATATACATATATATACATATATATACATATATATACATATATATACATATATATATATATATATATATATATATTTTAAATTACAAATTTATTTAAATATAAAAAATGTATAAATATAAACCTTAATAATAAAATTTACATTAATTTTCCGGTTATTAAAACTAACCTCCTATTATAAACCCAGACGAAATAACTGATTCGATGATTTTAGAAGAAGAAATCGACGAGAATTACTAACCAACAAGCGAAGGTTATTTAATAAAAAAAAAAAAAAAAAAAAAAAAAATTAGAAATAATTGAATATGCTAAATTTCTTGGTATGGATTTAATTGAAGATAGAGATTTGTTTTATATTGCAAAAGAAGGTCTAAAAGCACCTTTACCAGATTCTTGGAAACCTTGTTAGCATCCTACAGGGGAGATTTTTTATATAAATTTGACAACACATGAGACTTAATGGGAACATCCTTGTGATTCTTATTATTAAGAAATGTATTATAAAGCTAAAGAGAAAAATTATGAATAAATCAAATAAAAGAATACTGGAATGTTTAATTAGTAATATGAATAATAATCATAATAATAATAATTTGGGGCGAGTCAAAAAAATAAAGGACTTCCTACTATTTTACCTAAAAATGACTTATTTTCTAAAAAAAATGATCCTTTAATTAAATAGACTTAGGAAAAAAAAATCAATGAATATAGAAATTAATAGAAAAAAAAGCTTTAGGAAAGAAAATAAGAAGTAGATTTAATTTATGAGAAAAAATTCAAAACTTTAGAAGATTAATTAAAATAAAAATTAGAATTAGTAAAATAAGAATTCGAATAATAAAAAGAAGAAGAAGAAGATGAATTAAAAAAGAAAATAGAAGAATTAAATAATTAATCAAATGAAGAATTTAAGGAATAATTAGAAAATTATGAAAAATAAATTAAAGAAGAACTTAAAAAATCAAATAAAGCAAAAATTGAACTAGAAAAAAAGGAATATGAAAAAAAGTTTTATTTATATATGTAATATATATATATATTTAGATAATTTTATAAAAGATTATAAAATATGAAATAACAAATATAAGAATAATATGAAGATATATAAGAATAAAAGAAAGAAGAAATAAAAAATGACTATGAAAAAAAAATATAATTATTAGAAATGGAAGAAGAAAAATTAAAAATTGAATTAGAAAAAAATGATTATAATGAGGAAGAAGAACTAGAAAAAATGAAAACAAAATTTTTATAAGAATAAGAAGAAAAATTTTAAAAAGAAAAATAATTAACTTAAAATTAATTTGATGAATAATTAAGGAATTTTAAAGATTAAGAAAATTAAAAGCATTAATAAAGAATGGAAGAATTATATTAATATTTATAAAATGAATAAAAAAATACTAAGAATTTGACGAGAATGAATACAGAAAAGAATTAGAAAATGAAATGGAATAAAAATTGAAAGTTTAATAAATATATATATATATATATATATATATATATATTTATTTTTATAGAATTTAGAAAATGAATTATAAGTCAAATATGAACTTGAAAAATTACAATATTTAGAAAAATAATAGGAATATGAAAATTTATAAAAATAAGAATTTCAAAATAAATTAGATATGGAAATTTAAGAATTATAAAGTTAATGGAAAACGAAAAAGATTAAAAAGAATAAGAGTTTTTATTAGAAAAATAAAAATTGAATAAAAAGCTTTAGAAGAATATTTAAATTACAAAATAATTTTTGAAAAATAAAGTTAAAATGAAGAAAAAGTAAAACAATATTTTTTATATATACAATATTTTAAATATAGAAAATAAGAGATTTGTTTAATTCTGAATAATTAATTAAACTTGAAAAAGAAAAAACTTCTACAGAAACGATTTAAAAACTTTAAGTTTAATATTAATCTTTAGTAAATAAAAAAAACAAAAAATATATTTTTGATTATAATAATCTAAAATAGTTAAATGAATGTGAAAAATTAAAAAATGAAAACGAAATATAAAAAGATTCATTAAAATCTTTAAAAGAAAATATAGAATAAAAAAAGAAGGATTTACAAGAAAAATAATTAATAAGAGAATTTACAGAAAAAGAAAAATTATTAATAGAAGAAATTCATAATAAAGAAAAAATTATAAATTAGTATAAACTTTAAATAGATTAATTAAATGAAGAAGAGTTAAATGTAGAATATGAATAAATAATGAAAGAAAATAATAATTTTAATATATGTAGTGAATAATATTCTGATTATTAATCATAAATTTAATTTAACGATAATAAAGAATTGCAAATGACATTTTAAGAAATGTAAATTAAAGTTTAATTTGAACAATAAAAATTATTAAAAGAAAAAAATAATATTTAAAATGATTTAAATACACTATAAGAAGAATACAGTTAAAATATTAATAATAATGAAAAGTAATTAAATATATAAATAAATATAATTATGTAAATATATATATATATATATATATATATACATATATATTTATATTTATATCTATATATTTATATTTATTTATATCTTTTATTCTACATATTATTAATTATATTTAAAAATAGAAAAAAATTCCTTAATAACGTTAGTAATATTTTAAAATAAAAACATGAAAATATCGATTAAAAAATAAATCACTTAAAGTATAATTTTAATTTTTAAATCATAAAAATATATAAAAAAGTAAAATAAACTCTCTTGTAAATAATAAAAGCAAATAAGATTACAATTATTTAAATGATAATTCTTTAAATCAATATAATAGAGAACCATCAGATAAATAATAAAAAGAAAGCTAATTTTTAGTTCAATACAATAATTTTTTGAATTAATACGTTTGAGAAATATAAAAAAGCACATTTTTTTAAAAAAACAATAACATATAATAATAAACAAATATATACATATATTTATATAAAAAATATAAAAAAAAAAAATTAAAAAATAAATAAATAAAAAATATCAAATAACAATAATAAATAAAAAATAAATATATAGATAATATGTACTAAGAATTTAATAATGAACAATAACCACCCTCCTATTAATAAAGCCAACCCTCTTAAAATATCCCTTACATATACGGTAATATATCTCCAATAAAAATCCTTTCCCAAAACCCTGAAGGAGCCGACGCTGACCATTCATAATTGACAACAAACCCCAGAATATTATATTTACGGAGATTATATTTTATAATGTCCATATAATTATCAATTATAAGTATTTTAGCTTTTCTCATACATAAAAATAAAGACTTAGAGTCCCATTTGGCTAATAACTACATATATTTATGGATATCAATGACTTTTACTATATTAATATGCTTTTTCGGATTATTTTTTAGGTCTAGAATATAAACAAAACCTATAAACTATATATGTATGTTTTTATGGACTGTATCTTTCGGTATGACTCTAATTTACATACTTTCTATAGGGAAAACTATCTTAGGTGTTATGTCATTTATTTTATTCACAGGTTTAGTTATCAGTTAATTATTATATACACTAACTGTTAGATATGAATTAACTTATTAAGGCTCCACTCTTTTTCTTTTTGGGACATAATTAATTGTTTTTCATATTTTTACATTATTATCGAATATTTCTTTTATTTAAATGATCTTAGTATCTTTTTTAGGATTTGTTTTTGCCTTTTATCTTATTTTTGATACTTAGAGTAATGTAACAGGACCACAAATTGATTTTAATAAAGAAGAATGGGCTTCAGGGTCGGTTTTGGTATATATGGATATTATATTATTGATTATGAGAGTAGGGGATTTATTAAGAAGTATGTTTACGAAAAAATAAGACTGAATTTATATACATACATATATTTTTATTTATTTATTTATTAGTTTCATTTTTTACTAATTTTAATTAATAAAAAAAAAAAAAAAAAAGTGTTTTTATTAATAAAAAAAAAAAAAAAAGTTATATATTTATCTTTTAAATTAATAATAAATTTATATTTTTAATAAATAAATATATATATAAATTATTTTTATATTAAAAATCATAATTTATCGCATTATATAATTTAAATATTTTAAAATTTAGCAAATTCCTCATTAATTTATTTTTCTCGATATTCTGAAATAATCTCTGTGGCATCTTTTAATACAAAAACCTCAAACCCGTTTTTTGCGGCATCAATAACTGTTTGTCCTACACAAAAATCAAATGCTAATCCACATATATAAATTTTATTTATGCCGAACTATTATAATTTTTCTAATAATATAGTGCGATCACCCTCAGAACCGAATCCACTATATGAATCAATATTACTATGCATACCTTTATTAATAATAATATCGTTTTCTTCTACTTTAAGATCCTAATGTAGTTCACTTCCTTTAGTATTTTACACACAATGATCAGGCCAAAGTTCTTAGTATTTCCCATTTTATAATTATATGATAGTAAATGGAGATTTTCCAGGATGATTTGAGGCAAAACTTATATGGTTTTAAGGATGAAAGTCTTTTGTGATAAAAACATAATCATAAAAATGATTTTTTAAACGTAATTTATTGATTTATTATATTACTTTTTAAGAGTTTCTCACTTATAGAGATCCTCCTTCGCAAAAATCATTTTAAATATCAACTATTATTAAGGCTGATTTTTAATAATTTTATTATTACATATTTAATTAAAATTTAATAAAAAAATATTTAAAGAAAATAAATGAAAAAAATAAAAAAAAAGATAAAAAAGTAAATATAAAATAGAAAAAATCAAAAAAAATTAAATAAATAGAAAATATACTTTATAAAAATATAGAATATTTCAATAAAAATAAATATATATGATTATTGATTTTAAAAATCTTATTATATATAATATATATATATATATATATATATATATATATATATAATTTTAATATATTTATATATAATAATAAAAATTTTTATAATATTATTTTTTTATTTCTTTTTGATAAAAAAAAAAAAAATCTTAAAAAAGCCAAATAAAAATTATTTTTATTTTTATAAAAAAAAAATGGCTGAAAAATTAGATCTTTTAATAGAAAATTAATAATATCAATTAATAATAGAAATTTTAAATTAAGAATAATATATAGATCTTTTTTAAATGCAAAATAATAGTATTTTTATTTTAAAAAAAAAATTACATTTTTCTATATATAACAAATATATATAAAAACTACATATTTATTTTAGTTTTAATAATTTCCTGTAGGGAAGGAAATACGATATTTTTTGATAAAATCATTCAATATTGGCAAAATTTAATATAAAAAGGATTAAAAACTTTCGAATAATATAAAAATTACATAAATTAATAAGACAAATAAGAATATACTGCACTACATTATAGTGTTTTTTATGAATTAGAAGTAAAAAAAAAAAAATGAAATAAAAAAAAAAAAAAAAGTATATGACATATAAACTAATTAAAGAAGGAGCTAATTTTTAACATAAAACATCTTTAGGTATACATAATAATAAAAAAAAAAAAAAAAAAAAAAAGGTGAATCTATAATACATTAAGCTGCTAAAGGAAACTGTTTAAAACTTCTTGTAAAGATAATAAAAATTTACATTTAAAAATAAATATATATAAATATAAATATATTATAAATAATAAATTTATATATATATATATTTTTAAAAAATCTTAATTTATTTTATAAAATAAGTATATTAAAAAACCTTTTTTTATATTTAAAAAAAATAAGATCTATATATAAATCCTTGGTGCTAATATATAAGAAGAAACAATTACTTAATCAAATGCTTTACATATAGCTTGTTTTGAGGGTAATTTAGAAATCGTTAAATACTTATTAAAATAAAACTTTAATATATAATAAGAGGATAATTAATAATACACGCCTTTACATTTATCTGTTTTTTCTAATAATTATAAATTAGTGAGATTTTTAGTATAAAAAGGTGTTAATAAGAGACTTAAAAATTTCTAAGGAAAAACTGCTTTAGAAATTGCAAAAGACTAAAAAAAATTAAATTTGGAATATATTTTATAGGAAAATAATTGTTTTTTTCCATTTTTTTTTCGAAATAATTAAATTTTTGATTTTAAAAAAATCTACTTTTTTCGCTTATATTGCTATCTTTTTTATTCTGACTTTTTTTATAACTTTTTTTATTATTTTATTCTTTTTTTTCTACTCTAAAATCTTATAAATACTATTCTGGATCGATTTTTTTATCACATTTACCACCTATTTCTTATGCTCATTCAAAAATCCAGGAAAACTAATATATCCATAGTATAATACAGACCAATAGTATACAATAAGGCTTTATAAACTACTCGAATATACATAAATAGATAATATATGTGTAGAATGTTGTATTATAAGGCCTGAAAGATCTAAACATTGTGAATATTGTAATATATGTATATCTGTATAAGATCATCATTGCCCTTTTATAGGGAATTGCGTAGGATCAAAGTAAAAATATATATATATAAATATTAAAAAAAAAAAAATAAAAAGAAATTGCGGAATTTTTTTATTTTTGATTTTCCTAATTTTTTCGAATATAAACTCAGGAATAGTTTTAAGTATTTTTTATTTTATGAATTTTTACAAAAACTTGAAATTCGATTTATTATGTGCTTTTTTGATTTTTTTATGCATTTTTTTCATATATCCTATATCAAGAATTCTAATAATTCATATAATTAATTTTTTAAAAGGAATGACTTATTAAGAAAGAAAAAAAATCAGCAAAAAATAGATACAAAAAATGAATGAAAATACACTAAACTAAAATGATTCTTCATTAATAACTTAGTATACGCCGAAAAGTTTTGATGAATAATTAAACGAAAATTAGACTGTATTTAAGAATTTCCTAGATATGTGCTTTTTTAATGCAAAAAATGATAAATACTTATTAAATTATGAATAATTAAATTATATTTTTTAAATTCCTTCTAAAAACAATCAATAAATAGATATATAATGAACTAAAATTATATAAAAATAATACACAAAAATATATATATATATATATATATATATTTATATATAAATATATATTAATTTTTTTTGTGTTTTTTTTAATATTTTTATTCATATATCTTTTATAATTTTTATTTATTTTTTTTGTTATTTTTTGTTGATATAATTAAGAAAATAATTAAAATTTATAATTAATACGTTTAAAACAAACAAAAAATATGAAAAAATAAATTTCTTCAATAAATATAGATATATTAAACTAAAATAATACAATAAGGAATAGCCCATTATAATCTTCTAGTTTTTAAAATATATGCCCTATATATAGTTAACATTCAGAAAAGCATTCAAATAATTAAATATTTGAAAATTATTCATTTTGAATACTACAAAAATAATAATTGCAAGTAGTTAATGTCTTATTAAAAAACTAAAAATAATGAAAAAAATCAATTATTAAAAATAAATAGTAACTAAAATTTACATTCGGCTAATTTAAATAAAAGTATAAATGTATAAGACTTATCATAAATAAAATAAATTGAGAAACAAATCAAATAATTAGAAAATTATAATTAAAATTTATTATAAGAAAATTAACAATATAAAGATAATATAAAAACATTAAATGAAGAAAAAGAAGAAATCATGTAAATATGGTAAATAAATATATAAATATAAAATGTAAATATGCCTTTAAATATAAAAATATAAATATATATATATATATATATATATATATATATATATATTTATATACTTTTATTTTATTTAAGCAATAAATAATAATTAAATAATTAACTTTTGTAAATATTTGAAAAAACAGAAATTGAATAAAAATTATTAAGTGAATGTGAAAAACTATAAAGAATAATAAATGAAAAAGATTCTTAAATATAAAAATTAATCGATAAATAAAAATAAATGTAAATATTATAATATTTATTAATTTATAATAATTAAATGTTTAAAAAGTGAAAATATAAATACTTAATAATTTAATAAACTTAAATAAAAAAATGAAGATTTAGAAACAATTTAATAATTGTAAGAAATTAATAATTAATATTAAATATTAATTGAAAAAATTCTAAAGAAAATAATAATCTGAATGCTTTAATTAAATAACTTTAATATTAAATAAATTAAAATGATATTTAATAATAATTAAAAAATCAAAAATATTTGGATCTAGAAATAATAAATTAAAAAATTGAAAACAACATTACTAATTTATAATCAAAAATAGAAAGATACATAAAAAATGAAGAAAAAAATGAAGAAAAATAAAAATTTATAAGAAAAAATGAAATTTTATAAATTTAAATAAATGAATTAAAATTAAAAAAAAAAAATTAAACATAAAGTAATTCTTAATAAGAAAATAAAATATATGAATATCAATCTTTAATATAAGATTTAAAAAATAAAATAAAAATTATTTAGATAAAATAAATTTACAAACAAATGAAATAAATAATTTAGAAAATAAAAATTTAATTATAATTATAATTTGAAAATTAAAAAAAGTTACATAATAAAAAATACTAAAAATAAAATAAGAATTAAAAGTATATATATGAAAAAATAAAAAAAATATATATATAAATAAATAAATATATATATATATAAATATATACGTATATATATAAATTTTTATTTATATATTTACATAGTATGAAATGGATAATTTAAATATTGAAATTTAAGATAATAAAATAAATAAGACTAATCTATAAAATTAAATCATATAATTAGAGCAACAAATACAAATATAGAATTAAAATTACGAATAAATATTTATATAATTAACAGATTTATAACTTATAAATAACTAATAAAAATAAAGGTCTATATCTGCTATCGAAAATAAATAATATATTAATGTTAAAATGTATATATAATTATATATATATTATTTTTTTTTTTTTTATTAGAATATTGAAAAATAATAAATTTAAAATTACTATGTTGATTAAAAAATTAAACTTAAATGTGAAAATGAAAATCTTAAAAATTAAAACGAAAAGCTTTTGAATTTAATTTAAATTTATTCTAAAGATAAAAATTAAGAAAACTATGAATTTTCTACAGATAATATAAACTTTCTAAAATCATTAAATAATGAAAAATAATAAAAAAATAATAACAATATATCAATATAGGACATAAACGAATTATAATTTAATAAATTCATAGAAACAAATAATAATAGTTTAAATATAAATTTCGATAGTATACTAATAAAGAATGAATATTAAAATCAATAATAATCAATTTAATATATATCTGATGTAATAAGTGATTAGGAAGAGTTTTATATATAACTTGAAAATATAAATAATTCTTAAAAAATATGAGAAATTTTTTTTTTAATATATTTTTTTTTTAAAAAAGTATATATATTTATATATTTTTCAACTTATAAAATATACATATATATACAAAAAAATAATAATAATAATAAAAAAAAAAATTAGAAAATAAAAAAGCATATATAAATGATAAATAAAGACATTCTTAATGGAACAATAGTATTTATAATAACAGCTATAGTTTTAAGTATAGTATTCGCAGTTTATACTGGAATAAGAACAAAAGATAAATCATGTGTAGGAGCAAATAGATGGTAAAAAATAAATATTATTTATTTATTTTTTTGTTTAAAAAAAAAAAAAAAGTAT